GTGGGTGTTTCTAAGAATAACTCTGCCATTTGTTTTACCTAAGAAACAATAGAAGTTCCTACTACAATTCTTACTCTACAACTCAATCTTGTATCAGAAAAGGAGAACCTAAAAATGGAGGAAAGAATGAAAGCCTAAATACAGGTCCCTTGATTAGCATAAGGTCAGTGGGGACAGCCAAGACAGTAGGAATAATAGAAGGCCCTTTTGCAAGACAAAAGGGTTTTTGACATTAACCTCCAAGCTCACATTGAGTAAAAAGTCAGCTCCACAGTAGCAAACAATGCCTGAATGGATTAGAATTCTTCCGCAGGGTGGTCCAGTGTCCATGCAAAGGAAGGTAGAGCTGCATTCAGGTGATGGTAGAAACATCCACTGGGCCCTGCCAAACAGCGGGAAATTCCTTGTGGCCCTGCCTGCAATGGAACAATACTCTTCACACCTTTGTGTCCCCCACATCCACTGCACAGACCCCAACAGGGTGCGGGTGTGTGTTGGGGTGCAGGTGTGTGTTGAGGAGAGGGGCTTGGAGGAGTGTGGGGGATGGGTCATGGGCACATGTTGGGGAGTCGGATGTTGGGGTGCTGGTGTGTTGGGGAGTGGGGCGTGGCGGGGAACGGGTGTATGTTATGTATTCCCAGCCTGCACCCGTGGAAGTGATGTACGGTTCAGGTGTAGGGGAGTGTTCCTCAGCTCCTGCTGGCTTTCCAGCTGCTTGCCTGTTCTTGATCTGGGTAGAGATGGACTGTCCCAGGCTCCTTTGTAAGGTGCGCAGGTGGGTCTGAAGTGTCCCTAGGTCACGCTCACCTCGGGATGTCTGTGCGTGTGCAAGGGGTTTCTGAATCGCACCTCGTGAACTGTATGACAAGAGTGGCTCCTCACATCCACACTTCCTCTTGCTCAGGGAGCCGCGCTGTGGAAATGATGCTCTCACCTGCTTAGACTAGTCTTCTCTCGCCTCGCCCTCATTCCTCCCCTCCATCCCATGATGTGAAAGGCACAGTAACAGAATCGAACTCCCTGACTAGGGAAGAACAGCCAACATAGGATAACAACTGAGTGGATAGTGTTTGTAATGACACTTGAGTGGATATACAAAACAAAAGATAGTTTCTAACAAGGGTGTGGAGACAATTGATGAGTTCTGTAAAAGGGTTTATGAGAACTACGGAAGCTCCTCAATACCTCCTCTCTTATCCTATGTGAGCCTCAGTCTATAAGAGCCTGATGCCATCGCTACAGGACAGCGAACACTTGGCTTACTTCCCACAGTAGCCGGGACTGGGCCAGGCTCAAGCCAGGAGAAGCCCAGGGTTGCCACCAAGGCTCCTGGTGGTGGCAGGAAGCAACGCACATAGGCCAGGTGCAGCAGCAGGAAGCTGGTTTAGAAGGACTCTGCCCCATACTTTAGGGTGGGTACCACTGTGTCTCACAACATTCACAGACTTGCAAGCAAACCATCACTTTTAAAATCCGAGCAAGGGGCTGGCGTTTGCCGAACTGGTGCAGTTGCCACTGAGACACAGTGTCCAGCATCTCTGCCTCCCTTGCAGCTCCCTGCCATGGCACCCTGAGAGGTCCCTGCCACCCACAGTGGGGCGAGAGCAAGTGGAGCTCTGGGTGCCCTGCCCCTGGCCATCATGTGCACGTGGGGGAGGCAAACCAGCAGATGGGATAGTTCTTTCAAAAATAAAATGACTACAGAGAAGAAAAAGATTTTTGAAGCCCAGAACAACACAGTTTAGCATTTACTCATTTTGAAAATTATCTTTTGAGTCTTTCTAAAAATTATTATTTATTTGAAAGAGGGAGAGAGCAAGCGACATCTTGGCATCTGCTGGGTCACTCTCCAGAATGTAGCTACTGCCAGGCTGCAGCTCGCAGCCAGGAGCTCCATCTCACGCGCACAGCCTCCCACGTGGGCACAGCCTCCTACGCAGGCACATCCTCCCATGTAGGCACAGGGGGTCATGAGCTCGGCAGTCCTCCACTGCTGTCTCAGGCCTTTGGGCCAGCCTGGACTCTAGCCGTATGGGATGTTGGCATGGCGGTCAGCTGCTTTACTCACATGCCATGCTACAGGCCCGGCGCCTGTGACCCTCAGGGTGCTGAGCACTGCCTGGCCTGACAGGTCCTCACAACAGGGAGCCAAAGCTCCCCAGCCCATGCCTGAGTACCTTTTCAGAGGCAGATCTTCCAGCCCGAGTTGGTCTTGGAGCCCAAGGTTGCAGCAGTGCCAGAGCTGCTGCCTGCAGTTTGCCCCAGGTAGGCACATCCTAGCCTTGCAGATGAGCTGTTCGGGTTGGTGCCAAAGGTTAAGGGTTCATGCTGGGGCTGTGGTGAGGCATTCACCAGGCCAGCGTGAGGCATTCGCACCAGGGCCAGAGTTAATGCCCCTCCCGCGTGAGTTAAGAAATACCAACCCTGGAAGGCATTTCTTGTACAAATAAAGTAGGGTGTTGTCCATGCCAGGGGGTGCTGTGGTCATTACATGCAGAAGTGGGCACCAGCAGGGGAGAGGCGATGTGTGTCCACACACGTCATCGTGATATAACAGGCCTGGGCACCTGTGTGCCAGACACAGTGCAGGTCAAGGTGGTGCCCTTTGCCCGAAAGCCAAGGGTTGTCTTTGTATTAATTCTCATTTGGAAAGGCTTAGTCCTTGGGGCTCTCTCCTTTAGCGGGGGGCAGTGCAGGGATGGGCATGCCAACTGTGGGTGTCCCCTTGGGCTTTCCAGTCCCCTCCCAGGACCAGACACCCAGAGCAGGTGCCACCCCACCCCCACCTCCCAGGCCACTGCATTTCTAAGCTCCCACCCCACCCGAGCACCTCCGCTCTCCCTGAGATGTCTCCCAGGCTCCCCACCACCTCTTCCACATGCCCTTCACTTGTGGCTCCTGCCCACTGCTTCTGCATGCTACCTGGATGGTCTCCCTTTCTGCTGTCCACTGTCACCATGGCTGGTGTCTTCTGCTGGACACTGAGCATTGCTGTCCTTTACAGAATTCCTCTAAGGAAAGGAAGCTCAGAGCTGGCGTTGTAGCACAGCTGGTTAAGCCTCTGCCTGCAGTGCTGGCATCCCATATGGGTACCAACTCATGTCCTGGCTACCCCATTTCTGATGCAGCTCCCCACTTAAAGCCTGTCCTCCCAAGTCCTTGGGATCCTGCACCCACATTGGAGAAGCCAGAAGAATCTCCAGACTCCTGCTTCAGACAAGCCCAGCTCTGTTATGGCCGTCTGGGAAGAGAACCAGCAGATTGAATGTGTCTGTGTATGTGAGTGCATGTGTATTTCCTCTCTCTGTAAATCTGCCTTTCAAAAAAATCTTAAAAATAAGCAACCCACCCCCCAAAAGTAGGCTCCTCTCAAAGCTCTGGGGGTCCAAGAGCATGTGCTGTGCTTGCTGCATGGGGGAGGGGCTGGCCAGGGAGCCGGGAGGCTGGAGAGTCAGGGGGCTGGGGATCTGAGGGCTGGGGGTCCGGGGAGCTAGGTAGCAAGATGGGCCAGGCTCAGGCTATGGTGAGCAAGAGGCCCCGGCAGTCCCCGTGCCCCTCCGTCCTCCCCACATTGTAGCACCCAGACTTTGGTTAAGAGAGCTAAAGCAAGTGTTCTCCCACCCCATGCTGCACTGTGTGAAGTGTGCTCCTGCGTGGCATCAACACATGGCTGCCATGTGGTGTCACAGCACGCTGCCACATGGTGTCACAGCACGCTGCCATGTGGCGTCACAGCACGCTGCCACATGATGTCACAGCACACTGCCACATGGTGTCACAGCACGCTGCCATGTGGCATCACAGCACACTGCCACATGATGTCACAGCACACTGCCACATGGGGTCACAGCACGCTGCCATGTGGCATCACAGCACACTGCCACATGGTGTCACAGCACACTGCTATATGGTGTCACAGCACGCTGCCACATGGTGTCACAGCACACTGCTATATGGTGTCACAGCACACTGCTATATGGTGTCACAGCACGCTCACTGCCACGTGGCGTCACAGCACACTGCCACATGATGTCACAGCACGCTCACTGCCATGTGGCGTCACAGCACACTGCCACATGATGTCACAGCACACTGTCACATGGTGTCACAGCACACTGTCACATGGTGTCACAGCACGCTCACTGCCACGTGGTGTCACAGCACACTGCTATATGGTGTCACAGCATGCTCACTGCCACGTGGTGTCACAGCACACTGCTATATGGTGTCACAGCACGCTCACTGCCATGTGGCGTCACAGCACACTGCCACATGATGTCACAGCACACTGCCACATGGTGTCACAGCACACTGCCACATGGTGTCACAGCTCGCTCATTGCCACATGGTGTCACAGCATGCTGCCGCATGGTGTCACAGCACGCTGCCACATGGTGTCACAGCACACCGCCACATGGTGCCACAACATGCTCACTGCCACGTGGTGTCACAGCACGCTGCCGCATGGTGTCACAGCATGCTCACTGCCACATAGTGTCACAGCACACTGCCACATGGTGTCACAGCATGCTCACTGCCACATGGTGTCACAGCACACTGCCACATGGGGTCACAGCACGCTCACTGCCACATAGTGTCACAGCACACTGCCGCATGGTGTCACAGCACACCGCCACATGGTGTCACAGCACACTGCCACATGGTGTCACAGCACACTCACTGCCACATGGGGTCACAGCACGCTGCCACATGGTGTCACAGCATGCTCACTGCCACATGGTGTCACAGCACACTGCTATATGGTGTTAGAGCACGCTGGTATATGTTGTCACAGCACACTGCCACATGATGTCACAGCTCGCTGACACATGATGTCACAGCACACTGCCACATGGTGTCACAGCACGCTCACTGCCACGTGGGGTCACAGCACGCTCACTGCCACATGGTGTCACAGCACACTGCCACATAGTGTCAGAGCACATTGCCATGTGGTGCTGTGGGTCCAAGCTGCCCAGATACACCAGTTCAGAGTCAGGTGCTGGACAAAGGTTTATTTGTGTGGGCATACGTGGGAGTGGCTCAGAATCAAAGTGTTCAACTAGGATTGGGCCCCAGGAATCAAAGTCACAGCAAAGGCAGGAAGGACCAATCAGCCATGGTTTTCCTCTGGGCTCTCCTTCCTCCCTGCAGCTCCCTACAGTCTGTGAGGCCTCAGTGGCCAAGCCAGGACCCTCTGAGAGCTCTTCCAACAGGGGCACCTTTCAGGCCATAGTGAGCACCGAAGCATCTGTTGGTGGATGTGAGGATGGAGAGCAGCCCAAGTTCACAAGAAAAGTCCCTGAGAGGAGAATGACGTGTGCACAGTGGACCAGGCCTGGTGTGGCCCGATCCACAGCAGGCACTAGTCCCGGGCCTCCCAGCTGTGCTGCTGGGAGCCAGCTAGTGCCAGGAAATCAGTGTCCAGGCTCCTGAGCTGAGCTGCAGCCTTCTCGGTGAACTCGCCACAGGCCCTCTCCAAGGGGAGCCGGGGTGGACCCATGGGGATCCCTGAGACCAGAGATAAAAGGGCCTTAGTCTGCGGCACCCCGAAACCTGCCCGGGAGAAAGCAACGAGAAGGCGTCAGTAGCACCCACACTTCCTCACAGGCACCCCGAGGCATCCTCTCCCAGGGACCATCCCATAGAGCAAGGGCTCATATGGACGACCATGCAAGAAATGACCCAAAAACCCAGGAGGAGGAACCAGTAGCCTGGAGTCTGCCTGGGTCAAGTGCTGACTGAGGAGGGGTGGGGCGGGCAGAGATGAAGGCCCTGAGAGGTCCCTGAGAGTGCCTCGCTCTCCTGGGGCCACGTGACAAAGCGGCCCAGGGCTGAAGCCGGCCACAGATTTGGGTATGCTGAGGAGTTGGGGTCACCCCAGTGGCCAGGCCCCTCGCTGGCTGGGGCAGACCCACTGGCTTCCAGGGCTTCCACACCATGCCACAGGGGCACCAGGGGCAAGACTGCATCATGTGCCTGGCGCAGGTGCCACAGTAAGATGCTATCTAGGGAACTAACAGGTGCTCATGGAGGCAGGCGCTAGCTCCGCCATAGGACCCCTCATGAGCCAGCCCACGGGCAGCTCATCCAGAAAACCAGTCTGGGCCAAGGAGCTCAGTGAGGAATGAGAATCAGAAGCCAAGGGCGAGGGCACAGAGTGGCAGGAAAAGGGGAAGTAAGTGGTTGAGGACAATGCGGAGTGGACAACATGTTGGGGAAGGCCAGGAGGCACACTGAGAGAGGGCTGGCACCACCAAAGGTCAACCTGCAGAAACACACAGACTCAAATGGCTGCCGCGCAGATGTGAGCACATGAGGGCTATGCAGGACATGGGGATACAGCAAAGGCAATGCTCCCCAGGAAAGAACAGAGCTGGGGGCAGTGAGGCCCCCAGACCTGCCAGCACTGACTGGCCCGCAGGTAAAGGGCAGCGCCCACGGCAAGGCTCAGGACCCAGTCTCTAGACCTGGGACCAGTGGCTGCAGGGCTGATCTCCTGTGCATGATGACATTTGTCGTATGTCAGCAAAGGCAATGCTCCCCAGGAAAGAACAGAGCTGGGGGCAGTGAGGCCCCCAGACCTGCCAGCACTGACTGGCCCGCAGGTAAAGGGCAGCGCCCACGGCAAGGCTCAGGACCCAGTCTCTAGACCTGGGACCAGCGGCTGCAGGGCCGATCTCCTGTGCATGATGACATTTGTCGTATGTCACGGTGGTTCTGGACAGGGGTGCTCTCCTCCAGCATCTCGTACCCCATCTCACTTGGTCACCTCCTGCAAACACCCTGTGCCTGCTCACTGCACGGCCAGCACACAGCAGGACCACCTCCTGGCTGCCTCGCCAACACCCCTAGGGGTGGGATTCCCGTGAGCAGCCACAGGAGGGGTGGGGTGTCTTCCCAGCTGGCCTCCCTCCCCAGCAGCCCATGGAGCAGCAAGCACACACAGCACTTACCTAATTTAACCACAAAATTGATGAATCTCTGGATACAAAACTAGAAAGGAAGAAGCAAATCAGCAGGCAGGATCACTTGACTGAGATCCCAGCAGGCCTACAGGCCTTTGTTCACTCTCTCCAAAACTATCTATCTGAGAGGCAGAGAAACAGAAAAGAGAGAGGGAGGGAGAGAGGAGGGGTGAGATAGGGAGAGGGAGAAGGAGGGGGAGAGGGAGAGGGGGAGGGAGGGAGCAAGTGAGAGAATTGGATCATCCATCTGCTGGTTCACTCCCCCAATTCCCCAGATGGAAGCAATGGTCAGGACATGCAGGGCTGAAGCCTGGTCTTCCCAGCTGACGACAGGGCCCAAGAACCTGGACTTTCCCAGATGTGCTGGCAGGGAAGGGAAACAGCTGGGATTCACACTGAGGCTGGGAGAGCAGTGGGGCAGGTGATGGTTCAGCTGCTGCGCCCTGCCTTCCCCCAGCTTTCTAAAGGTCTGAGTAGAGATGGACACGAGGGGACGGAGGGTAAGACACATTCAGAATGCGGTGGGGACAGTGCATGCTGGCCAGGAGCTCAGAGGACAGGACTGTGTGACCCAAGACAGGACACCCTCATCGCTCCTGCAGCCAGGGCCAGCTTGGCCAGCACAGCTGTTGGAAAGTGAGGGTTCCACCCAGGTCCCCCAGGGGACACCTAACCAATGCCCCATCTTTATGTTCAGCTGACGGGCCTAAGAACACACCCAGGGGCAGGTGCAGGCCATCCAGCTCTGCTAGTCCTGGCAGGGTCATTCTTCTCCTGGGTGAGGCCCCCATGGACGCTGCTGGGGACGGCTCTGGGAGTGCCGTTGTCCTGACAGGTTCTGCCCCGCGGGAGGGGCGACAGATGCTTCCGGACCTGGGGGCTCCTTTCTTGCTACTCAGGATATGATGAAATGATCAAGGCTCTGACTTTGGCCTCAAGACTTAAAACCACTGGTTCACAGAACCCACAGCCACTGATGGCCACTGACAGCCATCCATGACCACTGATGGCCACCAATGGCCACAGACAGCCATCCATGGCCACTGGTGGCCACCGATGGCCACCGACAGCCATCCACGGCCACTGGTGGCCACCGATGGCCATTGGTGGCCACAGACAGCCACTGCGGTAACCACACCTCTGCCACTCTCACACACCAATTCACGTAATCAGAACTTTCTAGGGTTAATCTCTCAAAAACAGGAATAATCTGGCACTGCACCTTTAGCTTACCCTGGCATGGATATTCCCCGCATTCACAGAAAAAAAAAAATGAGTAAAACCAAAATGAAACCACGAAAACAGGCCAGAGCCATGCCTCTCCTCTGTGCTGCCTGCCTCCTTGCTCCTGGCCCTTCCCCACTCCTCATCCATCTCCATTTCACCCAGCAGTCCCATAGTCAGGGCCTGCTTGAGAGCGCCCTGGCTGCCGGCTCCTGCCTGGGGCCGAGCAGGTGTCTTGGTTCTGGGCCTCCTGGGGGGAGGCCGCAGCTGCCTTGCCCTGCCCTACCCTGCCTGTGTCGGCGCAAGCTCTCTTGCCATCACTGTTTTATGGCCGCAATACTAGGAAGGCAGAGCCAACACAGGCTTCTGGGCTCAGGGGACACCGCAGGAGGCTGTCCTGCTCCAGTGCAGCAGGAACAAAGACTGGGAGGAAGGTGAAGCAGACGCCCATGCTGAGGGCAGAGGGAAGGGTGGCAGGCCCACCTGGTAGCTGAGAGCCGTGGACAGGTCCCCGCGTTGGAAGGCCTCCAGCACCTGGGCTGCCCTCTTCCCCAGGTAATTGTAGGTGCTAGTGAGACACAGGTGAAAATGCAGCTTCAGCCACACGCCCTCAACTGCCTCGCCCAGCGGTCCAGGACCAGGTGAGGGCCGGGGTGAGGAGGTTGGCCACCTGGCATCCCACGTCTCCAGAGCAAGAGGTGGCAAGGGAAGGGACAGAAAAGAAAAGGACAGTGTGCGAGAGGCCAACGATGCCTGCCCTCGGGCAGGACTTCCCACTGGGCGAAGGGGCATCACAGGCCTGCAGCCCGGTGGGGGCCTGACTCCCCAGGATGTGCCGCTCACACCTTCCTACAAGGCCTGAGGGAAGAAGGAGGTCCTAGGACTCAGCTGTGGATCCCAGGGGTGCTCTGGGCAGACGGCAAGGAGCAGAGCAAGGGCAGTGAGCTTCCCTGGCTGACACAGGGGCCACATGACAGGGCCAGGCAGGGAGAAGGTTCCATGGCCAGCAGCTTCTCAGCGAGGATGGCCACCATCCCTGGTGTTCACCTGTTGGGGTCTGTGCAGTGGATGTGGGGGACACAAAGGTGTGAAGAGTATTGTTCCATTGCAGGCAGGGCCACAAGGAATTTCCCGCTGTTTGGCAGGGCCCAGTGGATGTTTCTACCATCACCTGAATGCAGCTCTACCTTCCTTTGCATGGACACTGGACCACCCTGCGGAAGAATTCTAATCCATTCAGGCATTGTTTGCTACTGTGGAGCTGACTTTTTACTCAATGTGAGCTTGGAAGTTAATGTCAAAAACCCTTTTGTCTTGCAAAAGGGCCTTCTATTATTCCTACTGTCTTGGCTGTCCCCACTGACCTTATGCTAATCAAGGGACCTGTATTTAGGCTTTCATTCTTTCCTCCATTTTTAGGTTCTCCTTTTTCTGATACAAGATTGAGTTGTAGAATAAGAATTGTAGTAGGAACTTCTATTGTTTCTTAGGTAAAACAAATGGCAGAGTTATTCTTAGAAACACCCACTTGACCATGACGTAAAAAGTCTGAGCCAGAGTTTGACTGGTGCTGTATAAATAAAGCGGACAGCTTCCCCCCCCTCCCCATTGTCCATTATGATCATGAAATCCTAGTGGTCTCTTTCCTCCCTCTTTGCGCCTCATCCACGCACCCTTTGCGAGTTCTGAACTCAGCTGGAGCTGGACTCCGGCATTCACCCAGGCGGGGACAGGACCCACACACCCTCATCCATAGCCAGCAGTTGTGCCATGACCCAGTGCCCGCCTCCTGCCGAGGGGGCTTCAGGCCGGTGACTCTGGTCTCCTGGTCCACATGGCCAACAGGAGCTTCTGTGGACATGTTCGGACAGTGCCATCAAACCATGCATGCTCCAAAGTGCTCCCTCGCAGCCCCAGCTAGCCTGGGGCTGTGGAAGCAGAAAGGGGTTGGGGGGCTGGGAAACAGAGACTCCGAGCTGGACCCAAGCCGGCCTGTGCAGGCCCTGCTTTCAGCCTCTTGGCAGCCCCCCGAGCCCTGATAGTCTATGGTGTCCACGATTTACAGGCACCGTTCTGACCTAGGCATTGGGATCCACAGAGACACTGACCGCCACGGGGAGGCCACACCCAGTCTGATTCTCCCCGTACCCCAGAGCTGCTTTCAAACACTGGGTGAGGTATCTTGTGGTGAGGCTAGCCCATCCCCATGCAAGACTTCATGCAATGGCCCCGGGACTCACCTGCCCACAGCCCCAGTGGCTCCCATCGCCAGTGCACCCAGCAGCTGCTGTTTGGGAACAGACAAGAGCAGGCTTTGGTGCAAGCTGGCAGAGAGGGGCTGCTGCCGAGTGACAGTTCCTCCTGCTGCCCTGGATGGAAGCCACCCATGGGATGTCCCAGGGCACCCACCTCGTCTACCCCGAAAAGGAGAGCCATCTGGTGTGGGCCGTGCTGGTCCACACACTGGCCGAAGTCCAGGAGGTCCGTGTCGCTGAACTTGAGCCCCTGGAAGCTGGGAATCTGGTCTTGAATCCCGTCCAACAGTTCCTTAGCACGAACTGTCAAGACCACAGATGGTGCCAGTGAGTCTGGGGCTCGCACTTGCCATGGCACCTGCCGGCACCCGTCCTGCTCAGAGCCTGCCTAACCCCAACCCCACGGCACACCTGCCAGCCTAACCCTAACCCTAACCCCATGGCACACCTGCCAGCGCTTGTCCTGCTCAGAGCCTGCCTAACCTTAACCCCACGGCACACCTGCCAGCACCTGTCCTGCCAGCACCTGCCTAATCCTAACCCCACAGCACACCTGTCAGAGCCTGACCTGTCAGAGCCTGCCTAACTCTAAACCCAAAGGCGGCAGACAGGTGCCTGTGGTGCTGGGCTGCACCTCTGGCCTCAGCCTCAGCCCCTGGGCTGAGCTCCTCTCAGGCAGGCAGGCTCTTGATCCAGAACCACCCACCTCTTTTTAAGGACTTATTTTACTTATTTGAAAGGCAGAGTCAAGGAGATAGAGGGGTACCAGAGAGATCATCCATCTACTGGCTCACTTCCCAGGTGGCTCTGATGGCTACACTGAGAGGAGAGGAGAGGAAGGGAGGGGAGGGATGGGAAGGGCAGAGGAAGGGAGGGGCGGGGAGGGCAGAGGAAGGGAGGGGAGGGGAGGGGAGGGGAGAGGAGAGGAGAGGAGAGGAGGGGAGGGGAGGTACGGAGGGGAGGGGAAGGGAGTGAAGAGGAGGGGAGGGGAGAGGAGGGGAGAGAGGGGAGGGGAGAGGAGAGGAGGGGAAGGGAGAGGAGGAGAGGGGAAGGGAGTGAAGAGGAAGGGAGGGGAGGGGAGGGGAGGGGAGAGGAGGGGAGAGGAGGGGAGAGAGGGGAGCGGAGAGGAGAGGAGGGGAAGGGAGAGGAGGGGAGGGGAGAGGAGATGCAGCCTGCACTGTGAGGAAGGGAGAGGAGGGGAAGAAGGGAGGGGAGAGGGGATGAGAAGACAGAGGGGATGGAAGCAGTAGCAGGTGGAGTCCCAGGCACTGGGAGGGGTCAGTAGAGCCTGGGCCGCAGGGACAACGGGGGCACTTGGGAGTGCTGTGCCCGAGGCACTGCGTGCTGGTGGTGTGGGGGCGCGGGGGCACGGGGGCACGGGGCAGTGTGAGGGTCTGTGCAGAGCAGCTGGCGAGCAGGGTTACTCACTCCTCACTCCGGTCAGGGCCGGGATGTGGTAGTAATAGAAGGGCACGTTGGGCGCCGCTGCAGCTACCTCCTTGAGGAAACTGACCAGTGCGTCTGCAAGGACAGCGGGCATGGCAGGCTGGGCACATGGGCGCGCCATGTGCCCACAGCGCAGCACCTCCTGCACAGGCCCCTCCATGCCATCACTGTCCTCCCCCCTGCAGGGAGCATGAAGCAGGGTGGCATGCTCCACTGTGATCTCACAGCACACAAAAGGTGACCCCAGGGTGAAGCCCAGCAGCTACCCTGTCCCCCCACCCCCAGGAGTGGGCACCTGACAGGCGGCAGAGAAGAGACCCCGGAGGCCAGCAGCACCTGCTCGGGCATGGGTGGAGCGTAGGTGCTTGTGTCTGCAAACACAGCCGCACTCTGGGCCCGTTCCCACAGGGCAGAGATGCAGGCTTGGTGGGAGGAGCGGGGGGGGGGGGGGGAGCAGGGCCTGCCAGGTCGTTGGGCACTAGCCTGGGCTGCAGTGCTCCTGCAGGTGGCCAGGGGCTGGGGTGCCCTGATGTGGGGGGTGCCTCCCCAAGGGCTGCAGGGACGCATTCACCCAGCCCCGTGATGAGAGCAGAGCCAAAACACTGTGTGCTCATCTCTTAGGAGAATCACTCAAGGCAAGCTGGCAGACTCCTGTGGGAAGTGTTTGAAGCGCATATTCCAAACCTTCCAGTCAGCAAAATTTAAATAATCTACACAGTAGGCACGGCTGCACGACGGCTTAACCTGTCAGACTTAGGGGTTTGGTCACGTGGGCTGGTTGTTTGAACTGCGCTGTGTTTCCCCCCCCCACCCCATCAGCGAGGGTCGCGGCGATGCAGGCATTTGGGCACCATGCAGTGGCACGCAGGGGGAGCAGCCCGTGTGTCTGGCTTTCCCGATGAGCTTTCTGTGCCATTGGTCTCATCACTGGCCTGCCATCCAGCCCTCATGCCCCTCTCTTCCCAACATCCCCACATTTCATCATGCAACTCCTCGAAAACATGCAGGCCTCAGAGGATGGTCCGTGGGCAGGCAGGGGTGGACTGGCAGGCCTTGGGGGCCCTGGCCTGTGGGTGGGATGGTGGACTGGCAGGCCTTGGGGGCCCTGGCCTGTGGGTGGGATGGTGGACTGGCAGGCCTTGGGGGCCCTGGCCTGTGGGTGGGATGGTGGACTGGCAGGCCTTGGGGGCCCTGACCTGTGGGTGGGATGGTGGACTGGCAGGCCTTGGGGGCCCTGGCCTGTGGTAGGGCGGTGGACTGGCAGGCCTTGGGGGCCCTGGCCCGTCAGCAGGGGGAAGTGGACAGGCAGTCTTCGGGAGCAGGTGGGAGTGGACAGGCAGGCCCCAACCCCCCTTACCTTTGCTGCATGGCTTAAGAAAGAAAGGCGCAATGACAGCGATGCCATCGGCTCCTATCTCTGCTGCGTGCCGGGCCTTCACCAGGAAAGAGGGGAGCAGGGGAGGGTCAACGGTGCCTGCCACACCAGTGCTAGCGGCTACCACATTCATGTCTCACTGGCCACCAGACGTGCAGCCTGGAATCCCAGGTTCAAGTGGAGGAGGGTGGCGCTGCCAGGGGATTCCCAGGCTGTGGAGGAGGGGGCTGCAGCCTGCCCTAACCACAGCTACCTCCACTCGCCCAACAGACACTTCGGAACCACACCACCCACTGAGGAGGGAGGCCGTGGAAGGGTGAAGAGATGCCAGTCGGAAGCACTTTTGAAGAAGAGTTCGGGTGTAAGAATGAGGCGAGTGTGCGATTCCTGACTGCAGGTGCCTGCCCAGGGTCACACCTGCTCAGGGCCCTGGCTGGCCTGAGGGCAGTGATCAGCTGCCTGGACTGACTTAACAGGCAAAAGCAAAGTGGAGCCCAGCAAGAGGACACAGCTGGCCACAACGCTGTACCCTCGGGGGTCAGACTGTTGTGCCCTGGGGGTCAGACCTCTGAAACCAGCAGGCACTGGCCTGAGCAGCGACTTGAACTTGGAAATCACCTGGCCAGCAGCTGTCCAGCTGGTGACTCAGGGCCCCTCCTGTGTGCCCCCGCGGCACTGCCCCTGGCCAGTCAGGTGTCTACTCGTCCCACGTCCTGGCTGAGCGGCCCAGCCATGTGGCCTCCAGCCCCTGCCCTCCATGAGTGCCTCTGGTACGCACCAGCTCCTGCGACTCCTTCAAGCTCAGTGCCCCCACGTGAATCACCACCTGGTCCAGCCTGCGGGGAGAGAGGCCACCCTGTCTCATGTCCCAGCCGCTCGGGGCTACACAGGTCTGCGGGCTCAGTGGGCAGCAGACTTCAACTCTGTGGTGATCCGCTCGGCGTGAACTGGATGGACGGGCAGCAGGGGCCTTGTTCATGGCCACCTGTGACGTGGACTTGCCCAAGGTGACCCTGACTGCACACTAGGGCAGTTTCAGCCCAGACGAGGTCCTTGAGGGCCAAGTTAAACTACCCTCCGCTTCTCCCTTTTGGCAGGCGAGCCATCCCTGCAGCAATTGGCTCAGAGCTGAGGACACAGCTGGACATGCCTGTGGCAGCACAGGGGTCTCACATGACGCACGTGTGGGCCAGAGTGACCACCAAGCAAAGGCTGGAATCCCAGGGATGAATTAGCCTACGTCAGCAAACTGGGCATCAGCTCTGCCCTCACGTGTGGCTGGACACAAGCCAGGGCTGTGACGACGGCCAGGGCATTAGTGGATATCCGTGGAAAGCGTACGTGTGGTCTGAACACACATAACTGGGCACACAGGGTCTATAAGCAGCCACCAATGGCCAGTCCCTGTTGCCTTAGATCTGAGACAGACTTAAAACACATCAGGATTCCTACGGTGGACAAGGCAGCTGCTCCACCTTCCTGCCCCGTGCCCTGGCCATGTGCCTTTGCTGCTCTGGGTGATGGGGCCTTATCTCCTGCACTGCAACTCCTCTGGTCCTTTCAGTCCTGACACACGTCGTGCCCCACTCTGCCCTAAGCACCAGCATGACCTCGCGAGGCTGTTCACACTCCCAGCTTGTGGGCTGGGCAGAGGTAGGGACCCATGGCACCCCACCATGCACAGAAGTCAGGTGCTGTGTAGATGGCTCCTCAGTATCACTGGGGGCATAGGATGAGCAGAGTCCTCAGCCCGGAGACGGCCTGAAGCCACACTGACCAGGCTGGGGCACCACGGTGCTTCAGAACCAGAGATGGGGAAGAGCCCAGCTGGGGCTCAGGCCAGGGGCCAGGGTCATGGACTGAGTCGGGGTCAGGCAACAGGGCCAGGGCTGGGGTCAGGGACTGGGTCAGGGGTCAGGCACCAGGGCCAGGGCCGGGGTCAGGGACTAGGTTAGGGGTTGGGGACCAGGTCCAGGGTCAGGACTGGGGTCGGGCCAGGGCTGGGCACCCCCAGGACAAGGGGAATCTGGTCCACCGTCTCAGCAGAAACAGCTCCTAGCAGTCCACACTCACTTGCTCCTTCCTTGTGCCACCCACTCCTCGGCGACCTGGCGGCGCTCAGAGACGCTGAGGGACAGGCCTTCCCCAGTCGTGCCATTCACTGTGGGAGACAGAGTAGGGTCGGGGCGGCCACACTTGGTGACACCCTGTACCCACAAGCCCAGGAGCTGGGAGCAAGAAGCTGCCCCAGGTGCAGCGAGATCTCACGTCTCCACTTCCTCTAAGGCATGGAGTTGTATTGTGTGCCCCCAGGTGAGGACCCTGCCCCTGTTGCCAAGGACACAGGTGACTGCCCATGCCCACGTCCTGGGCAGTCCTGGGCCAGTCTCTAAACTACATCCGACTGAAGGGCAGGGTGGTGACAGCATCTGGAAGTGTTGGGGATGAAGCTGCAGCAGTGGGGGCTTGCTGGTTGCTTGGCCTGTGGTCCCCCCACAGTGAGGACCGAAGTGGGGGCTCCCGTCCCCGCTGGTGAGCCCAGCAAGTGCCAGCAGATACTGGAGTCAGGGGACACTCCAGGACCCTCTGGCCCAGGGGATCACTACTACTGCCCTAGGCCTTGAGAACTCTTTTGTGCAGTAGCAACCCAACGGCTACCTAGAGTTGGAAGCCAAACACACTGGCGCTCCTGTGGTCAGCCCTGGGTGTAGGATGCATCGCTGTGAATATGTCAGGGGACTCCTCTGCCTCCTGCCCCCACAATGACTGTACCCAAAGCACCTCCGGGCCAGGTGCCCAACCTTCCGTGGACACTGTGGGAGGGCAGCAAGTCCAGCAGGGCCGCAGGGGAACCTCCCTCACAGGCCTGGCTTCTCGCGTGGCCTCTTGCAGTCACTTTTTGTCCCCAACAGCCTCATGACCACTGCTGCCCTGTGGCTACTGTGTGTATGGCCTCTGAGGGCTCCCTGTTCTCTTGCATAGGCTGGCAGAGGCATTGAGCCAGGCGTCATGGAGCCCCGGGGCCTGGTGGACTGAACGTTCAAGCTGAGAAGCCATGGTTGTGATCCCTGGTGAGATGAACCAGGCGGAAGTCCCAGTTCCTAAGACGTGGGGAAGACCCCAAGGGCGCTCACCAAAGACGCTCCTGATGCCCTGCTCCTTCACCAGGTAGTCCACGTAGCGGGCGACCACGGGCAGGTTTACATCTCTGCAAGACACAGGATGTGGACAGCAGGTGTGACCTCCCTGCAGACCACACCACCAGCCCTGGGCTGCCAACGTGGCCATTGGGAGCCTCAATGCAGTCCCTCCTGCTCCGGAGCTCTGAAGCCTCGGCTGAGTGTCACCGCAATGCCCAGCTAAGCCCGAGGCTGCGGCCAGCCACGTCATCCTTGCTCAGTTGGCCTCATCCAAGCTGGTACAGAAGTTAGGAGCTTCATCCGGGTCTCCCTAGTAGTATGCCGTCCTCTGTTGCTTTTCTAGGCCATAAGCAGGGAGCTGGGTGGGAAGTGGAACAGTCGGGACTGGAACCAGTGCCCGTGTGGGATACTGAGGTTGCAGGTGGTGGCTTAACTGGCTATGTCACCGCACAAGCCCCCAAACAAGCATTTCTTAGGCTATGGGATGGGCAAAGGGACCTTAGTCATTTAAAACTTTCTGTGCTTGGTGTCTATGCTGATAAAGGCTGGAGACCATGTACCTGGCTGGAGAAGTGGGGAGCAGATGTCACTTGGCTCTCAGGGTGGAGGGAAGCCCCTGCTCCTGCGGCTCCCACCCATGAGCCTCTGCGCTGCAGTCCTGACCCTGTGTGGCCTGCAGCCCCCTCCTTCCTGGGCCTACGAGAACCCCTGCCCTGCCAGGATTTAACCCAACTACACCAACTCAGGGTGCTCGCCCCCACGGCAGAGTACAGTGATGGGAGGAGCCAGGAACCTGGGGCGCCTTTGTCAGGGACACCAGAAGGCCTGGCCCCAGCGCTTCCCCCAACTTCCTGCTGGTGTCCATGCCCCCAGCACCGACAGTCAGAAAATGACCAAGTTTACCAAGGCTGTGCAAGCAGAACCGGGCTCCAAGGAGGCATGGCATGCCCGGGTCCCCAGGAGCTCGAGAGGCTTGGACTTCAGAACTGCTTCCTGCTGCACCCTGAACCCTGACCGTCTAGGACGACAGGCTGGAGGCTGAGCCTGCAGTGGCCATTCCCACCCGGGAGCCATGCCCCCACTGGGCAGCTCGCTCTCCCGGGAGGGGTAGAAGGGCGTCGGGCTTGCTCGGCTCTCCCAGTCTGCACTGCCCAGGGCACACGGGGTGCCGAGGGCCCCTGTGGCCGGGAAGGCCGCTCCCTGTGCTGGACTCAGGGTCTAGGCGAGCAGAGGAGGTGACAGACAGAGGAGTGGAGAGAGAGAGGGTGCTTCCGGACGACACAAAGCCTGAGCGGGGAGGGGCCTGCCCAGGCCCAGGGACTAGCTGTCAGCCAGTGCCTGCCCGCCTCGGACTGTGCAGCGCCCGGGTCAGCTGAGACAAGGCCAGGAAGCAGGTGCTGACTCAGGGGCCACAGAAGGGCTGCGGTGGGCAGACCACACAGCAAGTGGGCAGGCAGAGCCTGGAGGAAGCGGGCCTGGGCAGGAGGATGGACCCAGCCACTGTCCTTTGTCTGCCTTTGCTGAGCGTGACCCTAGCTGGCATCATGGGCGGCACCGTGCAGTCAGTGTGAAGCCCTGGGTGGCCTGGTCCTATCCTGACAGAACATAAAGGTATTCTTGGTGGCAACAAGTTGTCCGGGCTGCATAGCCGGGCCAGGACGCAGGACTCAAGCCATCCAGTCACGTCTCTTGGTAACCCTTCCGCTGCAGCCTGCACCTGGCTGGGCATGGGGAGGACCCCCGCTGGAAGGAGGGACTGGGCAGTGCTCCCCACCACCCGGTCAGAGACGAGGCAGCTGGGACGGAAGCCAGGAAGGTAAAGTTGGGGCAGAGCCGGCAGGGCTGGGGTGGTGTGAGGGTTTGTGGGACACAGCCTGGGCAGGGCTGGGGTGGGACTGGGGGACAGGGCTGTGTAGGTGTGGGGTGGGCTGGCTAGGAGTGCAGGGACACAGCCTGGGAACTGACGTGGGACCTAGCCTTCCCTATTCTGGGCACTGACATGAGTCTGACCACCCCAGCCCAGAGGCTACACACACCAGGCTATAGCATTAGGAAGCCACCCGCCCCTGAGGCGGTCGACCTAGGAGGCCAGGGGCCCCAGGACAGGACATGAGGCCCCTGCGGCTGTAGGACTTCCACTCTCCTGGGCAAGGCCTGATGGAACAGGAAATGGCCTCCAGCCAGTCAGGTGGCCCAGGCCACCTCAGCAAGTCAGTGGGTTCATGCGTCAGGGTGCCGTGGGTGTGGCTGTGGTGGCTGTGTGGCTGTGGTGGCTGTGTGTGTAGTGGAGGTGTGTGGAGACTCCATGGTCTCCCTCCAGCACTGACCAAGCTGGACAGTGCACCTGCGGGCCCTTCGGGCAAGTCATGGCTGTGCTGACAAATCCAAGGAGAATCGTGCAGTGGCCATGGGCAGGCTCTGAGGTGCCGGGCTGAAGACAAACCCTCTCCCCTGGCGGATACCCACCCGCCACCTACTGTCCGGCTGGGACCTGGGGTAGCCCCCGTCTCCACCCTCTACATGGGGAATGGAACCCAGCCCGGCTCCGGTTTTCAACGTAAACAGTTACCCGTTCTCAGTCATTGGCGTGACGGTCGCGGCCACGAGGCCCCGAAGCTGCTTCCGGAATGCCATGGAGCTGCTGGAAAAATCTGTAACACATGGACCATGACTGCTGGTCCTTAAGGAAGGTCAGCTGCCACAGAACCTCCAGGCCAAGTCCACTCCTGGGGCAGAGTGTCCATGAGGAGGGCTGGAGAGGGGTCACAGACACCCAGGCACACAGAAGTAACAGGATGGACAATATTGAAATACACATTTTCTTTTTTTTAGTATCAGATTTTTAAAAAATTATTTGGGAGATAGAGAAAGCAAGAGAGAAAGAGAATCACACAGAGAGAGCCTCCATTCACAAACCCCTCCTGTACTGCCTGCAGCGCCGAGCTGGGCCAGGCCGACGCTGGGACCCCACTCCAGGCCTCCCATGCGGACATGGGCCCCAGCGCCCGGCCACCTCTGCTCCTCTCAGCATGCTCATCGGTGGGCAGTGCCAGGCGCCACAGCACCGCAACCAGTATCTCGTCTGAGCCCTGAGCATGCAGCATGCAGGTGGGCTCTGTGGGGGCAGCCTGGCACCCGGCCCTCGCAGCTGGAAGATCCCTGGTGTGCAGTGCAGACCCCACTGTGTGTGGGGGGGGGCAGTGCACCCCACTCTGCCTGAGCAGCGCAGACCCCGCTGTGTGTGTTTGGGGCGTGCAGGGTAGCCTTAGCCGACTGACTTCCCAGCACCCACCTATAGCAACACTGGACGGTCAGCCAGTGTGAGGAGACAGATAAGAAGCCGCAGACTCGGCTCTAAGCTTTGGCATCATGTGACCAGAAGGTGCTGAGCAGGGCACCTTCCTGCTCCCTGCCCTTCCCTGGGACCCCCAGTGGTCCCTTGGCATGAGGGCTGGGGGCTGCTTCCCAGCTGCCACTTCCTGGCAGGCTGGCTGACCCAGCCCAGCTCCCTTCCGTAACCCAGGCAGGTGGAGATCACACAGCAGCCTCCCGGAGCCCTAGCCTGAGCCCACTGGACAGTGCCCAGGGTCCTCGGGCCCCCACAGCCTCCTTGGCTGGTCTCCCTCACTGGCCTCCCTTCTCTGGGGACAGCAGGGGAGCTTAACCTAACCACCAGCACCTCGTTCCCCCTCCCCAAGCCGGCTTTCCATTCAGATCCGTCCTGTGCTGGGGCCTAGGCGGCTGGGGCAGGTGGCCCCAGGACCGCCGAGGGCGGGTCGGCCTCCCTGCAGACGGTGCCAGCAGAGTTCCCTGCAGAGTTTGGAGTGGCAGCGCACGAAGCAGGCTGCCTCCCTGGCCCCGGAGAGGGGAACTTCAGGACCGGAAATGGTAAAGCGGTCCCCGAGAACTTGAGGAGGAACCACAAGTGGAGCCCGACACACAGAACTGCAGACCAGGACACTGCCGGCGCCCTGGCAGCCCCCGGGCCCGCGTCCCCCCCAGGCTCCGCGTCCCCCCCAGGCTCCGCGTCCCCGCCAAGCTCCCGCGTCCCCGCCAAGCTCCCGCGTCCCCGCCAAGCTCCCGCGTCCCCCCCAGGCTCCGCGTCCCCCCCAGGCTCCGCGTCCCCCCCAGGCTCCGCGTCCCCGCCAAGCTCCCGCGTCCCCGCCAAGCTCCCGCGTCCCCGCCAAGCTCCCGCGTCCCCCCCAGGCTCCGCGTCCCCCCAGGCTCCGCGTCCCCGCCAAGCTCCCGCGTCCCCCCCAGGCTCCGCGTCCCCCCAGGCTCCGCGTCCCCGCCAAGCTCCGCGTCCCCCCCAGGCTCCGCGTCCCCCCCAGGCTCCGCGTCCCCCCCAGGCTCCGCGTCCCCCCCAGGCTCCGCGTCCCCCCCAGGCTCCGCGTCCCCCCAGGCTCTGCGTCCCCTGTTCTGAGCCCCGCGAACCGCGTCTCGTCCTTCCAGGACCGCGGGCCCCGCCGGTTCAGCGCGCCCCACTTACCCGGACCACCAGCCGCCTCTGCGCCCTGGGCTCCCCGGGGGCGGCTGCACTGGCCACGCGCCCTCCGGGCCGGAGCGCACTGCCTGGACAGTCGGAGCTCGGCCGCCCGTGCCCGCGCAGTGGAGAAGTTCCTAGTGGGGGAAGCCTGTGTCGCCCTGGCCGCCTCAGCCCGCACCCCAGGGTCGTGAAGGGCGCCTGGAGCTGTACTTTGGGCCGGTAAGCCCAGAAACCGTGTCCTTAGACTCCTGTGGAATGCGGGTGGGGGAGGGATGTGGAGGAGGCAGAGAGGGGCAGGGGCAGAACTGGTCACGCGCAGTGTCACGCGGAGGATGCAGCTGGAGTTCCGCTGGTCTGTAACGTTGACCAGGATGTGGGATCCTAGTCACCAATAGATCAACACTGGGGGAAAAACAGCAGGTGCAAGGAAGGATCTCTGTTGAGAGGCACTGTGGAGTGTAACAGTGCAGACCCACTGTGTGGGGGGGCGTAGTGCAGACCCACTGTGTGCTTGTGGGGAACAGTGCAGACCCACTGTGCGTGTGGGGAACAGTGCAGATCCCACTGTGTGTGGGGGAAAGTGCAGACCCACTGTGTGTGTGGAGAACAGTGCAGACCCACTGTGTGTGCGTGGGGAGGGCAATGTAGACCCACTGTGCGTGTGGAGAACAGTGCAGACCCACTGTGTGTGCGTGGGGAGGGCAATGCAGATCCACTGTGTGTGCGGGGGCGGAGAGTGCAGATCTCCCTGTGTGTATGGGGGACAGTGAAGACCCACTGTGTGTATGGGGGACAGTGCAGACCCACTGTGTGTGGGGGGGCAGTGCAGATCTCACTGTGTGTAGGTGGGACAGTGCAGACCCACTGTGTGTGTGTGTAGGGGGGGGACAGTGCAGACCCACTGTGTGTGTGTACGGGGGCAGTGCAGACCCACTGTGAGAGTCTGTGTGGGGCTGAAGCCTTGGGCTGCCAAGCCCTTGGAGAGAGGTCTGCGCCCTGGGCCAGCCCAGAGCCTGGCAAGAAGACTGCTCAGGGCAGCGGCCTGTGCACCTGCGGGGAGTCCTGTCCAGGTGGTATCCCGGGCCAGCCTCGCGTCCACTGTGAGAAAACCTCCAGCTCGCAAGGAAGGACAGGTCGCTTATTTCCAAGGCGAAGCACATAGAGGAGAGTAAGGACTTGCACCTGTGGCTCACTCCTTAAAGGCTGCAGTGGCCAGGGCTGCCGAGTCACCAGGCCCCTGCTCACTGGGGCTTCGCGCCCCTCTCTGTCCCCACCCGTGGGCTATGTGTCAGCACCCTCTTTGTCTGTCTAGCCAGCTGGCTTTTTGGTGATTATTGTGGATAATGCAGCTGTCGGGCCTGCAGATTTTTTTTTTAAGATTTATTTATTTTTATTGGAAAAGCAGATACACAGAGAGCAGAGGAAGATCTTTAGTGCCGATCTGAAGCCAGGAGCCTGGAGCTTCTTCCAGGTCTCCCACGTGGGTGCAGGGTCCCAAGGCTTTGGGCCGTCCTCCACTGCTTTCCCAGGCCACAAGCAGGGAGCTGGATGGGAAGCAGGACTGCTGGGATTAGAACTGGCGTTCATATGGGATCCCGGTGTGTACAAGGCAAGGACTTTAGCCTCTAGGCTACCATACTGGGCCGGGGCCTGCAGATGTAAAATAAATATTTATTTATTTGAATGTAAGAGTTATACTGCCCTTCCTGCCCCACTCCCTACCGACCTTCCACTCTCTCTCTCTGGTTTACTCCTTTAAAGGCTGGAGCCAGGAGCTAGGAGCTTATTCCAAGCCTCCGACACAGGTTCCGGGTCCCAAGCTCTTAGGTCTTTCTGTGCTGCTTTCCCAGGCCATAAGCAGGGAACAGGATGGGAAGTGAGCAGCTGGGACATGAACTGGCATCCATATGGGATGCTGGCACACCAAAGGCAGGCTCAGCCACTGTGCCACAGCACCAGCCCTTGCCTGCAGCCCTGAAGCCCCCTGAGTTTTGTGGCATCCTGTCCCCGTGGGGTTGGTCTGCAGCACTTGACCTCTGTCCAGTGTTCAGCAAGGTCAGGCCTCTTTCTCTGCCCACTGAGCCTCTCAAGCATCAGCCCCGGGCTCCAGGACAACCTTTGCAGGGCCCTCACTCAGGTCTTCCCATCCAGGACCCCTGCCCCCAGGGTGCCCAGCACTGCCTCCCTGGTCACAGACTGTCAGTGTCTGCTTGTAGGCCCCCAGGGTCCTTCTCCAGCGTGGACACTGCGGACAAGGCAGACAGCCACCACCAGGTGGCAGTGTCTCGTGGCCTGCCGGGGACAGGAATGCCCGCCCCGCTGACACTTCTGGAGCAAACTTCTGAAATCTTAGTCCTCTTATCAATGTTAGGATGAGGCGAGGAAACGGCATGTGGCATTATGGTGTGGTGGATAAGTCCTCTGTGGTGCTGGCATCCTGTATGGGTGCTGGCTCATGTCCTGCTGCTCCACTTCCCATCCAGCTCCCTGCTCATGTCCTGGGAAAGCAGCGGAGAATGGCCCAGGTGCCGGGGTCCCTGCATCCACATGGGAGACTTGGAATAAGCTCCTGGCTTCTGCCCTAGGCCTGGCCCAACACTGGCCCTTGTGGCCATCTGGGCATGGATCCTGTGGGCCCCCAGGGCCCCGTCAGCCTGGATGGGGCTCAAGCCAGAACCAGAGGGAGCCCCATCCCCTGCCTAGTCGCCAAGTCCCTCTGCTTCCAACTCAATGGTGCGCAGTCTGTGTCCTGCACATGCAGGGTGAGCAGCACAGAATGGCCGGACACAGAACAACGTGGTCAGTCCTGCCTGTGTCCTGCAAAGAGGAAAGGGCCCTCCAGGACCCCAGGCACTGGCTCCAGGCTGCTCGCTGTGAGGTGGCTGTGGGGGAAGGGGCCCCAGCACTGCATGCCTCGTGCCTCCGTTCAGGTGGGGAATAAGACAAAAATAACTACGCCGGTGACAGAGCCTGAGCCTCACGAAGCGTGGCCGACGGTGGGTGCTTGGCGCAGAGCACGAGGTGCTGACTGCCTGGTGCCCACAGCCAGCGCAGGGCATGCTCCACGAGGATGCCAGCATAGGACAGTTGCCACCGTGTCACCTCTGCCTCTGCCAAGTCCTCCTTAGCAAAACCAAGTGAACACTCACCTTCTGCGCCGTGGGCAGAGCTGGGCCGTAGTGGGCAGAGCTTCCGCTTGCAACACGGTCCTCGTATAGGGGAGGCGTTTGAGTCCAGCTGCTTCTCTGTTGATATACCTGGGAAAGCAGCAGAGGGCAGCCCCTGTGCCTGCACGGAGGCCTGGAGGAAGCCCTCAGCCTCAGCCCACCGTCTAACAGAATTAATAAAAGTTGATTTTGTGCTTTTTCTTTTTTAAAGAGTTATTTGTTTATGGGGCTGGCAGTGCCATCATCCGGGGTGGGTGCCAGTGCAAGTGCCAGTGGAGCAAAGCGACTCAAGCTGAATACCATATGGGACACTGCCCTTGCATGTGGTGGCTTCACCCACCATGCCACGTGCTAGGCCACTGTGGGACTCCTATAAGCACACCTGTGGGCGCCTCGGAGGTATACCATGGGGCAGGCCCGGGAGCCCAGGGCCACTTCTGCACTGAAAACCGTTGGACTCCCCACACAGAGTGCCCCAAACTGTGTGTGAAGTGTAGAGCCTGGGGTACTGGCTGACAGCCATGGGCCCCAGGACAGGAGGTGAGCTTGGTGCCGAGTTCAGGGTGCTGGGCCAGGCAGGACGTGCCGGGAAGCCCAGGAGGACGTGGCGTTAGGAGGGAGCTGCAAAACACAAGCGATGACCTTAGAGGATTTGTTCCTGGGTTTGCACATTTAGGGTGGAAGCACCAGCCAGTGGCCAGTGAGCTATCCTAATCTCCCACTCCGTGCCCTGCCCAAGAAGTGCCAAGAAATGCCCCCTCCCCCTGCCCACAGGGCCTGGCCTTGATGAAGCTGTGCCAGACTCTTTTGGACACTGTCCTGAGGGACACTGCGCAGGCTGGAAAAGGGGCAGCCTGGCATCTCGCCACACGGTCAGCCACCCACATCCACATGCCTCACACACACACACATATACACACACAGAGTTATCCACACACACGCCCCTACACTGTCATCCACACACACACACACATACACTGTCATACACACACACACATACTCACACACTCACACACACTTGCATTAATACACACTCTCACACAGTCCCTCAGGGCCCTGCACAGATGGCTCCCTTGGGTGGCACCAGGTCCAGCAGCTCTGGAGACCAGGAGTGACTGTTTTCTTGTCTGAATGGAATTCTGTTTATCACACGAGGACGTAACAGAACAAGGTGTGAGGCCGTCTGATGAGAAGTCCGTCCCATCCCCCTGGCAGAGGGGGCTCTGCCCTCCCTGTGGCAGCAGCAGCCTGGGAGGTGCGTGGAATGCGTGCAGACCAGAGAGGGTGAACGGAGTGCCCATGGTGAGTTGACATGCAGGTGCCGTTCTGCATTTGCTCCCCGGGGGGAAGCACCTGTCACGATCTGCTGTTCGGACAGGGTGCTGCGCGATCGCTCCCTTCAGTGTGCAGCTGGGCTTTCTGAATCTCATCTGTAGTGACTTTCCAGTGCATTCCCTGGAGGCTGGCAATAAGGCTGACCCACAACTCTGAGCCTTCAACAGGAAAACCCTCAGTCAGAACATCTCAGCCCCTTCACGGCCGGGATCTCCTGTCCAGGCAATGTGGTGATTTTCCATCACTACAGACCTTGCCATTGGCATCTCCATGTGACCCTGATGAGGCTGTGCCACAGTTCCCTGTGTGGCCTTTGTAGTCGAAGCGCTGGAGGGACAAAAAGTGCGTCAGAGTTGAGCTGGTCAGGACAGCATAGTCGGATGAGGGGAGAGAAAGACCCTGATTGATGTACTCCACAGTGACCATGAGGTCAAAACCACTCCCAGAGCTGGTGAGCAGGACTTGCTATTGTGTCACCATGCACAGACTAGGAACACACATGAGGAAGCAGCTATGCCTAGCTGGGAGCAGACTTAATCAGGAAGTAAGATGACAGGTGTGATGGGGCCTGGCGCGGTGGCGCAAGTGGTTAAGGTCCTCGCCTTGCACTCCCGGGATCCCATATGGGCGCCAGTTCTAATCCCGGCGGCCCCGCTTCCCTTCCAGCTCCCTGCCTGTAGCCCGAGAGAGCAGTCGAGGACGGCCCAAAGCTTTGGGACCCTGTGCCCGTATGGAAGACCCGGAAGAGGCTC